CAGTGGTCACCTGTTCCTGTGTTATTACTGAACCTCTTACCCTTTAGCTGTTGAGAACTGAATTTGAACATTGTGGGAAAAGGTTTCATTCAAGTCAGTGTCTGAAATCACTGCTAAGTAGTGGATAGGATCCAGTTACTGTTAAGGTGGTGAAATATCCACACTTTAAGCGCTGAAGTTCAAGTCAGTCACTAAATTAATGACAGACCATCCAAGGGGGGTCCAGAGGGAGCGCTGGAGCCAGGAAGCCAGCCTTGTGCCTGGCTAGAGGGACCAAGGCTCGTGTGCTTGTCTGGCTGCACTCCTCCCATCCAGCACAACCCTGCAAAGAAAAAGAACAGGCCTAAGCACCAGCCATCTGGCTTCATGGAGGGGGAGGCACATGGGCTTGGCTTTACAAAGCACAAAGAAACGAAACTATTCTGCCTGTGTGCTGGGAAGCTGCAGCTGATTCACTGCTGGAGTTCCCCTTGGGAGGGAAAAGCGCCTACAAAGCTCACTGACACCTCAGTTTCCTCACTAAACAAAGTTGTCTAGTCACCAATAAACATGCCATTTCTGGCAAAATGAAGACAATGAGCGCTTTTCTGAATAATAATGGTGTAAAAGTTTAAATCTTGAGATCTGCATCCTTTCTCTTTGCCTGAACCAGCCAGGAACAAAACAACCAGGTACTTGCCTGGGGTTGAGCAGGCATCTGTGCAAGTTTTTGGAGCTCGAGGTAAAAGAGCACAACCTCTAGTCAGAGTTTTTTATTGACACGAGTCTGTTCTTTTCAATTCTGATGTGAGGAACCAAGGCTTCCTCCAGCTTCTCAAAACATGGTCTCCCAAGAAAAACACTCCTACCTTTCCAAAATGACAGCCTTCCCCTCGCTGCCTGGTACTTCCACCCCTCTACAGCTGCAGAGGCTGCGCTGCTGCCACCACTGGAGCCTGTGTGTGCTCTGTGACTCACGCTAGGCACCGGGTAGGACTTAATGCCACTTGAAGCAGCAATAACTTCCTGCATATTTTATTGCAGGTCTCAGACAGTTTGGAGTATCCTCCTTCCAGGCCATTTTTGTGCTCAACCCATTGCCTCTCTTCTCTTTTGTCTCTTTGGAGAGTGGCCAGTGGATGATGGGACCATCTCTATCATAACCCTCTCTTCCATGCAGCTCTTCAGTTATTGTCCCTGCATTTTTCCCACCTGGGGGAAAAAAGTAGCCTGTAGTAATAACATAACAAATTAAACCAAGCTATTAAATGACTGAGTGACCTTATGAACAAGAAAGATGATAACAGTAACAACCACAGCTAAAGCAACTGCAAAGCAGATCTTCAGAAAACAAGAATTATTACATTATTAATTTCTGATGACCCAACATTTTGGGTCATCAATTTGAATTACTGACCAAAGCATATTCAAATTGTAAGGCAGGAAGTCTTTCTAAGCTTTCCCTTAGTTGGTGGTGCCACTAAATACACTTAGGTACATTCTTGTGGTCAGAGAAGAAAGGAGTGCAAACTCCAATGTCTTTCTAAATCCATACCATGATGGGTTTACGTCAGTGGGAGTTTTGACCAAGTAAGGGTTGCAGAGTCAGACCCCACGCAGAGCCCCAGACACAGCCTTGTTCTTATTTGGGATAAAAGCAAATGCACTTTGATGAGCTAAGCAACTAAACTGGGTTAATATCCAGTTTGTCAACAAACTTGTTTTGACATGCTGGCTAGACCATGGCTGCTTACCTCAAGCAAACCCAATCCTGGATTATTTTGTTCCCAGTAAAAACAAAAGACCCTCAAATTTCCCTTGCAGTCAGTAGTGCCAGCTATGTGCGGAGAGAGCCATGAGCTCACAGAGGCCCTTGCCAGGATTTGGGAGGCTTTGGTCAGAGGACCAGCTGGGAACCTCTGTCATTCCAGACTGACGAATCATGAATGCTCAGAGGAACATGATGCTGAACGTGCAAACAACGAGTCCACTTATGCTGCTCATACAACACAGGGATGTTCTCTGCCTGTCCCTGCATCAGATGCAGAGGAAGTTTTCTAAACATGTGGAAAACTCCACTCTAAGCTGACCAGTGCTGAGGAGCTGGGGGCATCTCTTGAATCACACCAGAATTAATATAGCCAGAATAAAATATCCTCTACTAGTGTATCTATAAATATAGGTGTGGGTATATATTAACTATAAATATAAGTAATGTATAACAGTCCATACTCTTTCACAAGCACCTAAGGGCTTCCTGAAGACAGACATACAGCTCATCAAGTGCCTTCCAAAATGTTTTCATAAGGAAGATCTTACAGAAAAAGGATTGTGTTTACACAATTTATGAAGATGTTTACAGCCCCAGCTACCCAGATGTGTCGAAATATTGCAATGGAAATTCAGATCTACTGTTTTTCTTTTGTTTTTGGTGCAGGCGAGGTTGCTCGTATTTTTGCAGATTATTTTTAGAATTTGGTGAAGGGTTCAGCTGATTTTACAGCAAAAGCTGCTGCCATGTAAACACTAGTAACTTCTCAAAGATAAAAATGTGTATGGTTCTAATTTTAAGCACATGAGGTCACTGGTTAAGTGTTCGAGGACTGCGTACCCATCGGATGTGAGTGGAAGGATGTGCTGCAAAGTCTTTTTGATCCCATTTCAGCTTCAAGTGGGTAAGGGAGGCTGGCTGGCCTTAGCAAAGGTGCAGAAGAGACAACTGAGAGACAAGAGACAATCCCTGGCAACCCACTAGCCACCATCAGCGGGCCCCAGCACCCCCACGGGCTCCGTCCCCTCACACAGAGGGTTTAGGAATCCCCAGCTCCCCAAGCCCCGCTGGATTCCTCATCGCTCCCGGGCCTCCTCATCCCGCCAGGCTGAGGGACACGCCCGGTCCCCCGGCGGGCCCTAGCTCAGGGGCGCTGCGACACGCCCTTCCCTCACACCTGTGCCACAGAACCACAGGATATCCCAGGCTGGAACGAGCCCACAGGGATCATCGAGTCCAACTCCTGGCCCTGCACAGGACACCCCAAGAATCACACCATGTGCCCGAGAGAATTGTCCAAACGCTTCTTGAACTCTGTCAGGCTTGGTGCTGTGACCACTTCCCCGGGGAGCCTGTTCCAGTGCCCAACCACCCTCTGGGCGAAGAACCTTTTCCCAACATTCAGCCTTGACCTCCCCTGACACAGCTTCAGGCCATTCCCCCGGGTTCTGTCACTGGTCACCAGAGAGAAGAGATCGGTGCCTGCCCCTCCGCTTCCCCTCGGGAGGAAGCCGTGGACGGCTATGAGGTCCCGTCCCACCTCACCCCGGCCCCCACCCGGGCCGGGCCCGTGACGGGGCCGCGGCCACAGCAGCGGTGGCGGCGCCGGCCCCGCCCGCCCGCGTTTGCCGCGCCCGCCCGCCCCGAGCGGCGCTTCCTGCGGCGGGGCCGGCGGGGCGGGGGCCGGTAGGGGGAGGAGGCGGAGGAGGAGGGGACAGACGGGGAGGGGAGCGGGGAGGAGGGGTTGCTGCTGCTGCCGGATGCAGTGAGGAGGCGCCGCGGCTGCCCTGCGCTGCTGGCCGCTCACCTGAGCGGGCAGGAGGGCGGAGGAGGAGGAGGAGCCGCCGCCGGCGCCCGAGCTGCGCGGAGCCCGGCGGTGAGGCGGGCGGAGGGTCGGCGGGGCGGGCGAGGCGATGGCGCCGGGCGCGTAGCGGGCAGGAGGCCCCGCGTCCCGCCGTGTGCGCCCGGCTGCCGGCGGGGGCGGCCGGCGGGCTCCGCCGCGGCCTAGGAGCGGCCTCTCCCCTCAGAGCGCCGGGCGCGGCGCCGCGGCGGCCCACACCATGTCCACCCGCACGCCGCTGCCCACCGTCAACGAGCGGGACACCGAGAACGTGAGTGCCGCGCCGGGACGCCCTCCCTCTCTCCCTCTCCACTTCCCTCCCGCCCTCCTCCTCTCCCCGGCACCCGCGGCGGCCCGACCCGCCGTGCCGCCCCGGCCGGGTGCCCCAGGGGCGGGCGGGCCTTGGCCGGGCCGGCACCGCCGCCTGCCCGCGCCCCGGGCTCCTCCGTGCGGCGCTGCCGGGGCGGGTCCGGCCCGCCGCGCTCCACGTCGCCCCAGCGCCCCGCGGCCCTGGGCCTCCCGCAGGGAGCGCTCCCGCAGCCCCTTCCAGCGCGGCCGGGCCGGGCTGGGCCGGGCTGCCCTTATATGTCCTCGGCTGTCGGCGCACACGGGCCCCGCCGGGCAGAGGCCTGTAGCCCCCGCGGGCGGCAGCCCCGCCTTAGGGCGTCCCCCGCACCGGGCACCTCCGTGCCCGGGCTGGGATATCCCACTTGTGGGCTGTCAGACCGCCTGGCGCTTGGCCCTGTCTCGCTTTCCGGGGTTCAGCGGTACTTGCTCTTTGTTCAGTTTGCACCTCCAAGACGGTCCCTGGTGTTGCTATATTCCTTCCTCTGTTTTGCTTTGTGTTGCCTCTCAGAGAGGCTGTGGTCGGGTCCTTGGTTCCTCCCGAGTTCATTATATCTTCCTTTGTGCTCTGTTTAAACATCTTTGCGCTCTCCTCTGCTCCGCCCGGGCTCGGCGGAGCGGGAGCACGGTGGTGTTCTCTGCTGTGGTGGTCTTCCATAGAAAACAACCAGTCTTGGCTACGATAGACAGTGTGCCTGAGGAATGCTGGACCCTGTCTGGTCCTGTCCATCAGTGGTGATTATTTAAATTGGTGGTAGTGTGGGAGGTGTGACGTTTTCCTCTTGGGTGAGGGGACCAATGTTAAAAATGGTATGTTTGCAATGTAGGTATTGTTAGTTGCCTTTGGGAAGGTGGCAGAAGGAGGGCAAAAGGGAGCCATACCCACCTTCTACTTGGGTGGAAAGTGATAGGTAAGAAACGAAGAAAGACGACCTAATGGGCTGAAAGTGGTTGAAGAAGATGCTTGTTTGTATTGAATCAATCTACAGAGGTTCTGGTCAACAGTAGGAGCTTATAAGGTTTGGTACTGTACAGGCCCAAGCAATAGTCTCTTCTGAATAGGTTACTGACTGATATAAAATGAAAAGTGAATATGAGAAGAGGATTTGGAAGACAGAGGTAACAGAAATGAGGTAATATAGCTAAAGAAGTGAAACTCTAGCTTGGTGAATTTTTATAATGAGCTTTTAATATCAGCTGCTCAGTGGAAGTTTAATTGACACAGCGATATCAGCGTTATTACTGGTTAAAGCAAATAGATGTATTTGGTCTGTCCTTACTCTTCATGGGCTGATGAGTTCTGTGTTATTGTCACAACGAAAGTAAGTCCTTGAGATGAAAACTTCGATTTAATTAAATGATAAAGCCCAGGTTTGTGTGATATGTGTTACTCATGAGTCTCCATTTCAAATGTATATGGGAATGTCGATGAGAGATAGATGACAGGAAGGGACATATATAGGTATATATCCAGTAATATAGTGCATTGCAAAGACTTGCAAAATTTACACAAGGCAGATGGAAATATTCGCAAATGTCATCATCTTTTATAGAATGAAAACTTCAATTAAAATGTTAGTAGTTCATTTAAAAGATATGCTACTTGGAAGGGCTCAATTTTGACACTTGGGGAATAGTGAGTGTTATTTTTTATTGTTGTAATTTCAGGGAGTGCATTGGGTATCTAAAAACCCCATGTTTGTACAGGATATCAGAATACTGAAAATTGCACATTTGTTTCTGAAAACCTTGGTGTAAGTCTGCAACCTAATACTAATGAATATAATCCTCCAGCCAGATAAACAGCAAAGAGCTGTGCAGTAGTAAGTTCCTAAATCTGCACAAAGTAATTCTAGTGCTGTCATTAGTGTGGCGTCTGCTGGGTTTTGGAGCAGAGACCTTGAGGTCTGCCCATCAGGCAGCCTCAGGAAGCCGTCTTTGCTGCCCATGGTGTCCCTGACTTTTGCTAAAGTGGCAAAGGTAGGATGGAGGAGGTGGTCTGTTGCTGACTTCCTGATCAGCAGCATTCCTTGATTTAAAATGGATTCTGTGAGGGTGAGGTGAGACTCTTAATTTACTTTTAATGTGCTTCCTTCTCCTAATAAACACTAATGGACTGGGGAACTGTTTATGCTGATGGGTCTTGACGTACAAAGTCGAGCTCTGGGTAACTGAGGCAGTGAGAAGTTGCAAGAAAAGGGAGAAGTAATTGGAAAGAGTGAGGAGTTAAGGAGCAGCTTTTGGCCTGGTAAAAAAATACATCTTTATAGTGCTTATTTCTAATCCTCTAGTACGTATATTAGCAAAGCTCTCCCAAGTTCTGCAGCTAGTGGTGATCTTCAGGAGAGGCTCTCTTCTTCCCTCTCATGCGTGTGGCCATCTTGGCAGTGTGGCTCCATTGTGTGACTCCCAAGGGACAGACTGTAGCTCTGTATCCCAGAGAGAGCTGATTGATGGTTCTGACTACAAACCTACGTGCCCATCCAGCTGTGCTTTCCACATGGTGTGAGGTTGTTGCATGAAATCACAGGGAACTACCCTACCACCACCACTTTCTGTCTCTTGGCAGCTGCTTTCAGTACTTTAAAATAGAAAATAAATAAAACTTTAATGCATCTTTCTCTCAGTGTGCAGGCATCTGTTACATCCTTTAAAAAATAGTATAATAATTGGGTATAGCACCTATCATAAGAATATACATTCCTTGAAGAATTACAGGAGTTCCTGATGGGATGGGTGACAAACTTCCATATTTCCATAATTCTTTGTGCCTTTTATCCCACTGCATCCTTTGAAAATAGTCTAGAAACGGATAAGATCATGCAGCATATTCCTTGATAAAGTCTTATCAGAAAGCTGGAGTAAGAAGTACAGGAACCATCAGCAACGGGCACACAACAGGTGGAGGGAGCCAGTGGTGGTGGAGCAGTGTGAGTGTAACTGATAGGTCTGCCTTGTGCAGATTCACACCCTTTTGTCTTTTCTTTGCCTTTTTGCTGTTCCTGACATCTCCCAGTGCTATGTTTAGCTTCTCTAGCAAATGTCCATAAATACTTTTCACTGGAAATGTTATTTCTCTTTCATGAAAGCTGTGTTTAAGGAAAATAAATAGATTATGATTGTCAAACACTTATTCTTACTGAACAGTTTATTGGGAAACTTGGGGAAATTAATGGGTGGAGGCTGTACTGTATTTTCATGCCTATTACCGGATTTGTTTTTTCAAATGAGGGGTAGGAGTGGTATTCAAAATAATTTCCCCGTGTTTTGATTTTGTACATGTAACTATTTACAGCTTCCTCTTGATACATTTTACGTAGGCTGTGACGGGTAATGTGTCAGTGCATTGAAACACTTGCAGTTGGGGTTAGTTTGGGTGAACTGAACTTCCCTTCTCTGCTGTCACTGGAGAAGGAGAAGGACAGGAATCAAAAGCTTTGAGCTAGAATCTCTTTTGTTTTCTTTGAGTTGGTATTAATTGAGGAGAGAGGAGCTTCTATATTTTCCCTTCATGGTGTGTTGTATTGTGTTGTTAAATTGGGGAATGTTTTTCCTGAATTAAGGCAAAAGAAAAGACATGCATCAGTAATATATTCTCCTAAATGGTTTTGGGGAGCTCTGTGTAAGAAAATACTCATGGAGATTCAACAGTTGGCTCTGTAATACTTGCTGTATAGTACTTTTAGTAAAATTAATAAAAATGAGAATGCTGTAGTTTGCTTTTTTTCTGACTTAAGGCCCTGGTTAGTTTGGCATAAGAATACATTTTTTTTTTCTCTCTGGTAAGTGTAATTTAATCTTTCAAAGGTATTACTGTTACCTGTGAGGGTATTACTGTTTATCTGTGTTGTGGTCTCACCCATCTAGCTAAGTTTTAAGGTATTATTTTGTTTTGTACTTTTCAGAGGCATCAAAGTTGTTTAATTCTGCTGGGGCAATCTGACACATTTACGGTGAAAGAAGGAACAAACAAGGCGGGAGTGCTGGATGATAACTCTGGCCAGGGTCAAGGAGGAATGTGGGAATTGTGGTTTGTCTTACCTAGCCAGTGCTATATGAGAATGACTGAGATGTCACATCAGGGGGAGTTTTAAGGAAGGATAAAACAGTGACCTATGGTCATGTGATTTGCTGCATTATCATATAAATAATTATAATTTTGACACATGCACACCTATTTGTGGGCTAGGGAGGGAAGAGTGATGTCTCAGATGCCAGCTAAAGTGGGTGTGGTTAAGGATGCCTTTCTCATAGGGGAGACTACTGGACAGCTGCATTTTAAAGAGGAAAAAATTGAACACGGCAAGAGATAAGAGGATAGAGTGAAGTAGTCAAGTTGG